CATCACACCTGGATAGGATAGGAAAGGGTTTGGGGCAACCCATTACAGTGACCTATAGGTGAAATAGTTCACTCACAATAGATATTTGTGTCCACATCACAGATGGTGCCCTTGTTGACAGCCTCAACAGACAGACCAGGCTGAATCGGCTCTAGAGATTCAGCTACATCCTCACCTCCCTGAGGTGGACTGGAAAAGTCCTGTAGAATGTAATAGGGATGAAACCAATAAGATTCTTTAGAAAATTAATGACTTTTAATAGGAATTGCTCTAAAGAGCTGTAGAATTTAATAGAGATTAATTTTAAGTATTTTTTTTACCATCCAACTGGATTATATAGCAGGGATATAATTATTTTAGGATGGTTTAAAAAATGCAGAGAATTGTTATTGTTAAATTATGTAGGTTTTTCCTTAAGGGTTTAGGTCAAGTTGAGTCATATTTATTTAGACTATTAATTCTTTGGAGCAGGGGCCATCTCTTCATTATGCATATGTGTACAATGTCTAGCACATTGGGTACAGTACTTAAAGTGGTCTGAAAAAGGTGGAGAAGATCCATCATAATCTGGGAGCAGCAGCTTTGGTAAAACAGGGCTTAAAGTGCGCCACTTAATAATGTTGTTGGGTTTTATTTGGTTTTTTTGTTGGATCTGTGATCACTTTTGAAACCCCTCCCCCACCTGCACCCCATGTAAGCACTGATTTGGTGTCCTGATGCCCTACAGAGACTTTTAAGCACTACTGCAGTATAAATAATTGGCAGGAGGACATCTGCTGCCAACCATATTGTACTTATTCTATGCATAAATAGAGGTCACTAGAGCTGGCATTCAATTTATCACCTTTCACCACTAATCTCACTGCAACTCTTAAACTCCGCCCCCCAAAAACAGACACACCATGAGGCACGCTGTGCAATTTGACTAACATTTCAATGCCAGGGATAATCGGGGCATTGCAATTTGAAATGGAGCACTCCAAAGTGCCAATCATGTGCCATTTTGAGGCCCTTTTTGCCTCACAAAGGTTCAAATGAATGGTTGTTACCACAGAACATTATAGAAATCATTCCAAGTCTTGCCAAAACCCTAAAGAACAGCTTCTATAGATTTCCTAATGTTAGCTTGGCATTGAGGGAGGCTTATGCAGCCGCTCTCGGGGTATAAAATTCTCACTCTGTATATAGATGGCATAAAATTTGCAAAAGTACAGAAGTGACTTAAGAGCCTTCAAAAATATTACCCTGTAGGTCATTGTCTGAACTCTAGAAAACAAAATATGTGGAAATTGTGGACATCAGTTGTGGTAGTCCAGAGACTTTGTACTACGTATTTCAAAAATGGTCTTGAAGTAGAGGTACTGGCTAAACATTATGCCTTTGCCATAGCTGACTTAACTTGTATGGCTTTATCTGTGAAGAGATCAAGGATTTCACAGAGGATGTGCTAGTTCAGCTGAGCACAATTACAATCATTTATTCAATTAGTTGGTCCTGAAATGACTCATAGTGCAGCTGCTCAGATTTAAATGCAGCTAATGGATTTAAGGGGTTGTTGGCGTCTTTGTTAAGTCAAACTGGTGAAGTGGGACACTTTGCTGAGCCTGATGTATCACAATATCAAAAGAATTAGTAAGATATCAGAAGGCAGGGAAGGAGGATTTGGACCTCAAGCCTGAGGAAGTGGTGCAGACCCACTCTCTTTCTTGCATCATTCATATCTTGTAGGTTTAGGGCAAGAAGGGTGTAAGAGAATTTAACCTGCAATTTCATGGGATAGTCAGTTCTCACAGTAAACTAGTAATCGTATCCAGTATAAATTGGGCACCCTTGCTGCCAAAATGTAATACCTCTTTGGAAATAGCAGATTAAAGACTCCAGAAGGCTGCATTCTTGGAAGTGACCTGATTCTGAGCCTCTTGCATGTACAGTACACTGTCAGCACTCACCAAACCAGTGGAATTCTGCTTGGAAAAAAACGATTAAAAATTATACAAAACGATCCCTAAGAAATAGCAGAAAATATCATCATTGTTCTACTTTCTTCCAGACTTCACACTCGCTTAAAAATACTGAAGTTGTTTTTATGAACAAACAGGAAATGTTCTACTCAGACCACCAAGCATAAAGAGAGGTTTACATGGTGTTGGTATCATGATCCTTCTAAAAAAAAATAAATCCAAAACTTTTTTTTTTAGAATCATTCCAACAATGACCCATACTCCCATGATACAGCTCTAAACTACACAAAAGGAACTAACAAGACATACTATGCCAAACCTGCATATCTGCAAATCTTTGGGTGTATTTTCCTTTCTCTCCCCCAGTCTAATGTCATTATCCCCCCATGTTCTGTCTTGTACTCAACTTCCTAGACTAAGTTTTTGCATCCTATATTTTTTCCATTTAAAATGCTATGCACGCCTATTATGCTATATACAATTCTTAAATTATCAAAAGTTTTTGTCTTTGCTGGAATGTGAAACTAGGACCCTCAGAATGAAAAGAGCTCCTATGTCACTTTAGCAAGAGAAAAAACTTCATTAGCAGTAGCAGGGCTCATATCTTCTTCCTGGGTATCCAGCTGCTAAACCATGAGATCACTGGAAGTTATCATTTGGCAAGTATCAGAGTAACAGCCATGTTAGTCTGTATTCGCAAAAAGAAAAGGAGTACTAGTGGCACCTTAGAGACTAACCAATTTATTTGAGCATAAGCTTTCGTGAGCTACAGCTCACTTCATCGGATGCATTCAGTGGAAAATACAGTGAGGAGATTTATATACACACAGAACATGAAAAAATGGGCCTGAGTGATCACTATAATGCCTGCAATTAGTCTTCGCCACTCCATGCCCCCTACACTAGCAGGAGGGTGGAGCGGCATAGGAGTCACTCTACTGGCTCCTATCCAGGACTAGAGAGTCACCCTATGCTGGCTAATCTCCCATGAATACCTATTCAACTTGAGGGTCATCTTGTGCTGGCAGCACAGCACAAAGAAGCCTGAATGCAGGGGGAGAATTTAGGTCTATTGGGGTATGCCTACACTGCAATTAAACATCCACAGCTGGCCGATTTCAGCTGATATGGGCTCATGGGGCTCAGGCTATGGGGCTGTTTAACTATGGTGTAGATGGTCAGGTGTGGGCTCAGTCCCAGCGCCTGAAGCCGAACATCTACACAGCAGTTAAACAGCCCCATAGCCCAAGCCCAGTGAGCTCAAGTCAGCTGACATGGGCCAGCCGCGGGTGTTTAGTTGCAGTGTAGACATACCCTTGGTGTACACAGAAACTAGCACTTTGGTAAATACACTGGAATTACACCAGCGATGACTCTGACTCAGTGAAGTCAGTGGAGTTTGGCCAGGATTTAATTTAGTCTATTACCTTTTTACCATGGTTCTTACTCTTTATTCACATAGTAGTTTAAAGCAATTAGTCTAATTATAATGGAAGATTACAGTTTATGAGGCACAGCTTGAAAGTACAAACCCACAAACTTTTCATTTAAATGGTAAAATTTCTTTGAATAGCTTAGATGAGCAAAGACAGACCTGTGGTTATATATTTTAAGATGTTCCTTTTACATTACAATGGACCCCTATCATCAGGCTAATTGTTCTAAACTACCATGTGAGTAATCTGTATTAACAGCGATGAAAGGTAACTCATAATTGCATTTAAAAAAACACTGCATTTTCTTAAAATTTCAGGCTTGATCTCCTGCTAGTCTTCTTTATGTGTGGGACTCTCAACAAAGTCCATGGGAATATTCAGTGGGTAGCTGAATGATGCGGTGATAGGGGTGAACCGTATCATAGGGCACAGTTCTGAAGCCCTTAATAAAGCAAAATTCCAAATTAAGTCAATTAAAGGTTTTGGTTTTTCCCCTCTCAATAATGACTACAGGATACGGCCCATGAGTGCATGTAACTCAGCTCCTTTGTGTATATCGAGGCATATGTTGGATGATTCGTTATGGGCTAGATCAGGGGTGGGCAAACTTTTTGGCCTGAGGGCCATATCAGAGAATAGAAATTGTATGGCGGGCCATGAATGCTCATAAAATTGGGGTTGGGGTGTGGGAGGGGGTGAGGGCTCTGGTTGGGGGTGCAGTCTCTGGGGTGGGGCTGGGGATGAGGATTTTGGGGTGTAGGAGGGTGCTCTGGGCTGGGATCGAGGGGTTTGGAGAGTGGGAGGGGGATCAGGGATGGGGCAGGGGGTTGGGGCTTGGGGAGAGGCTCAGGGGTGCAGGCTCCGAGCAGTGCTTGCCACTGCTTCTGGGAGCCACTTGAGATATGTCCCTTTTCCAGCTCCTACACAGAGGTGTGACCAGGTGGCTCTGCACGCTGCCCCATCCTGCAGGCACCACCCCTGCACCTCCCATTAGACTGCCGGAGGGAGCCATTGAAGCAGATAGGAGCTGGAGTGGGGCCGTGCTGCGGCTTCTGGGAGCCGTGTGGAGCAGCCCCCAGCTAGAGTGCTGGAGCAGGACCATGCCGCGTGGTGCAGCCCCAGACCCAGTACCCCGGCTGGAGACTGGAGCAGGACCATGCTGTGTGGTGTGGCCCCCGACCCAGCACCCCGGCTGGAGCGCCAGAGTGGGGCAAGCCCCAGACCCTACTCCCCAGTGGGAGCTCGCAGGCTGGCTTAAAACAGCTGGGCCGTAGTTTGCCCACCCCTGGCCTAGATGGTCTAATGTGGCTGTAGAGGGGTGCATTCAAGAGTAAGTACTGCCTGTGAACTTGGGAAAGTGTCTGTATTATTATTATATATATGCTTCTGTTCAATTTCATATTCTTACCTACCTGAATGCATAGTCCAATCAAACGAGGTTGTTAAGGAACCCAGGAAGGGTAAAACAAGGACACAGATAAGATAGCCACTCAGGTATCTGCTTCAAAGGAGTTAAGATAACAGTGGCTGGGCTGGGCCATCATTGGGAAAAGAACCTATCTGGCTGGAACCATTCAGATTAGAATGTTTTTCTCTTCCTAAGGCTAGGGCTAAGATTAAAAGACCCCTGAGGGGTTGAAAAGATGCTCCCAGAAGAAAAGGAGGGGGAAAGCGATCAGCTCAGCAGGAAGCTGACCTGGGTATAGACGCAGCATGCAGTGAGAATGACACTCAGACTTGAGAGACAGGGTCTGCAGCTGGCTAGAGAGAACAGAGGACACCAAGGCTAAGTCATATCTACCTAGGGGCTTGAGGAGAATGCCAAGCAGAGGTAAGACAATATAGGTATAGGTGACTTTGTTATTTTTAAGTTCTCTTCTCCCAGCTCTCTGTACCAAATCATATTTGGTTTTGCAGAAATTTCTTCTGTGTAACTGTATACTATTACTGACCACAGGACCTTGAAGGAGAACTCTGGCAGGGTCTAAGCCCAGCTGAACCTGCTCGGTAACATGGTTGGCAGCCAGGGAGAGGTAACCCAGAGATCCAGTCGAGGAATGATTAGATTGTGGGATCCCAGCCCAGAGAGAAGTAGAAGCATGGGCCTGTCACTTGAAAGGGGTGCACTCAGGGGACTGGAAAAGGGTCTCAGAAGAGGCAACCTACCCAGGGATCATGACACCTGCCCCACCCGATGCATAACTGAGTTAGGGGTTCTTGAATCATGACTCAGATACGGGGAGGGGGCGGAGGGAGAGAACACAGGTGGTATGTCCAATACCTGCCCACTGCAAGCAAGTGGGTGGAGAAGGGAAGTAGGGAGGGGAGGGAATGTGTGGAGCCATGGTTCTGCCTCTCCATATGTGCTGGGTAGCACAGCTGGTCAAGCATGAACCAAAGAAATGTAGGGCTGGAACGGACCTCAAGAGGTCATCCAGTCCAGCCCCATGTGCTGAGGCAGGATTACACATACCTAGAGTCTAGACTATCCCTGAAAGGTGTTTGCCTAATCTGTTCTTAAATACCTCCAATGACAGGGATTCTACAACGGCCTTAAGTAACCTGTTCCCATGAAGGGGGAAGCAAGCTACATCCTGGAAAGGGAAAGGGAATGAACTAATTTACCATTTACCCCCCAGATACCCTGCAATGGAGAGTAGCACAAGAGGAATTGTGATTTCCTGAGTCACAATTTTTTCCTGGAACTCTTTGTCAGGCAACACAGGTACGTGCTTTCCCCATCTGCGGGATTGAGTCTCTTCTAGACCAGCATTTCTCAAATGTGGCCACCATGGCCACAAGGAGTTTTCCTGCGGCCACGACAGCCACCTAGGAAGAGATGGGGGAGGGGACAAAGCAGCATCCCTTCCCTGCAGCCCTCTGCCCCCAGCTTCAGTTGTGGGACTCCAGGGTGGCGGGGCTTCAGGAGGGCTGGCCTTACTGGGTGCTGTGGTCCAGAGGCAAGGAGCAGGATGAGCGTGGGTTGCCAGGCTGCAGAAGGGAGCTTAGGGCAATGTTGGGGGGAGCAGTGGGGCCTGAGAGCAATAGGGAGCCTGGGGATGTTAGCAGAGACTAGAGTGATGGGGGGAGGATAGGGGGAGGCAGCAGGGGCCAGATGCACCAAAATAAACTGTACATGATTTTTATTATTGAGTCTGTAAGAGACACCCTACGTAAATCAATTACAATGATTTGGATGTGTATATGTGCATATTTGTTTGGTTTTCCTAAAGTTAGTTAAGTATTTTAGGAAAATTTGTCAGAGTGAGCACCAGCAAGACTTGGTGGCTGCACTCTGAGGCCACCAAAATTTGTTATGAGACCCCATACCATTCAAATTGATTATGCCATTGGAAAATGTATACTCTTGTGTAAGTTTTGTATAACTTTAACATGCTTGGTTTGATTTTTTTAAGCATGTGGGTGGACATGTTTTCTGAAATGCCAGATGAAAAACTTTTTTTCCTCTCTGTAGAACAGAAGTATCCTGTGAAAAATACAGGAGTCTATTATCTACTGAGAAGTGGAACATAAAACAACAAGGAAGTGAAGAATCAAGGCTCCTGTAGAATTATAGACTTGGGCTGACAACAAAGTAGAGTGTCTGACCTTGATCTTACCATGGATTATTTGAACCTGAAGTTCATTTTATGAAATGTATAACAGGACTGACTGTGTTTCATTGTGGAACATGTATGTTTTTGTGATGGTTTCAAACAATTCTGTATACTGAGAAGACATGAAATATTAATGAAAGCTTACACGTATAGAGAAATGGTCCGTGGCTAATAGAGTCTTAGGCCTTGATTCAGCAAAGTCTTAAGCATGTTTGTAATCTTACTCATATGAGTCTTGCAGTAATTTCAGCATGTTTAAACATTTTCAGGATTTTGACATAAGCTGGCGGTGATCACATTTTACATTTCATGCTCAAATTATTAATAAAATCAATCCAATTACATCAAGTGATCACAACTGGAACAAATGAAGAGTTGATAGTCTGCTTCTTAGAGGCCAGGATTTTCTTTGAAATGACTGTTGATGCTACTTGCATCTCTTGCCTTATTGCAGATCTCAGTGACTGATACAACAGACCAGAATTGTCAGACAAATCATTCATGGAGTGCAATGAGACTCCAAAAACTTATAGTGCTAGATGAGGGATAAATATAGTTTTGGAATGTAGTTTGATGACTGTATAGGCAAAAGTTTGGCAACTCCAGTCTACCTATCAACAATTATTTTATGAAAATATTGTTATTCACTTTGCCAATTTGGGAAAAAGGTAATGGTTTAATGTTTAATTAACCTAAAAGGACCAAAAGGTGCAGTCATAGTTCCCTGCTGACATTTAAAGTTTGTGTATCCTAGAGCTAGGCATAGCCACTAAATATAAACAAAATTCTTAAATTTAAATGAAATAAAGCCCCTTTTGATGTCGAATTGCTCTTGACCAGCATATGACACTACAACCATCCTAAAGCAAAGACAACAGCCTCAACTCAGGAGAACATGAAGTACTTTTGTACTGGTGAATTAACATAAGGGCAATATTAATCTAAACAACTATTAATTTAATTTTGGAAATCTGAAACCTTTAAGGATTGATTTTGAAAATCTCCCTCTTTTTGTACAAAACTGAGCCCACAACTAATTGCAAATGCAAACACTAACATTTTGGCATCTAAATGTCTATGCCAACATATATTAATGGTAGTATTTGTACACACAATTAATTGCAGATATAATTATGGATACATAACTGTGCCTACAGCTATAGAAGACTTGTTGGTTTTTAAGCTTTGCCATTCAAACTTAATGTCTGAAATACAATTCTTGAAATACAAACCCAGGTTTTTATCCTGCAACCACATATGCAAGTGCTTAACTTTATGCACCTGAACAGTTCCATTGAACTCCAAAACAATTAATAATGTGCACAAGTGTTACAGGACTGGGACCTTAATTATCTAAAGTGTGACCTGCAAACATTATAGTGTAATCTTTCTTTGTGAAGAGTCAATAGTTTAAAACATAACTAATCAATCAACAATCAACTTTGGCCATGTCTTCCCAAGTCTTTAACTCAGTTTAACAAATGTGTTTTTATAAATATAGTTTAAAATTCAACTGTGGCTGAAAATGGTTTTAGTTTGTTTTCACTGAGTGCGGATAGCATCTATTTTTGTTATAACTAAATTAATGAACTCAAGCATGAAGGCCAGATAGCCAAAACACAATGGAACTTGTTTCAACCACAGCCATGTTTTAAGACTGCTCCCATACTGTTATCAAATTATTTTGAGAGTTCTTCATACGGCAACAATCTTAATATATTTTCCCAGGGCTATGGAATATTTTTCCACAAACTGTCAAAATACTGACACCTGCCTTTATCACAAATAAACTAATTTATTTGTTCCCTATGCTCAAACCTCACTCTACATTAACTTTTGCAATATTAAGTGTAGGTGTGGCTCCAAAAACCTGCTTAACAATTAGTCCTGCAAAGCAGATAAGTGTCCTCATGCCTGACAATGAATCTGTCTCAGAGGTGGAGTAGTTTACTTGGATGCTATGAAGAAAATACATCACAGGGTTTGTCAATATAGCGTGGTTGGTGAGTGACCATGTTTACACAACATCCGTTTTCCTAAGCCGCACCCTTACTCATGGAACAAATGCAGTTCTTTGTTTCTGCAGACATATTCCCCACCCCCACCCCTGCATCAGAATTGTGGTGCATTTTTTCTTCTGCATTTTTGGTGTATTGTGGTTTTCTGCTATCAAAAGATGGCACATTTCTAACTTGTGTGTGAACATTTATATTCATTTGGATCTCCTAAGAGCGTTTGTTCCACGGAGCCTGATTCAGCAAAACACTGAAACATATGTTTATCTTTTGGCACAGCAAAGCTGAAGCAGGGTTTATTTATGTAATTGGTTTAAAGATAAGTGCATACCTATGACTAAGTCTACTTTAGAACCACTTTACCAGTATAGGAATACTAGATCAGTATTGACAAAAGAAATGTTATTCAGAGATGCCACATCAGGGGAAGAGGAATCAAAGGGCCTCCTGCCGAGAAATTCTTCACTACCAATACTCAATGCTCTGAAAGTTTTGATAATAGTACCATGGATTGGCTTATTACAGAAAAGGGTGGGTAAGGTTCTGTGGCCTGCAATATACAGGAGGTCAGATAAGATGGTCACAATGGTCTCTTCTGGCCTTAAAATCTATGAGTCTATTATTACAGTGTGATTAGCTGAGGGATTCACAATTTATCCCATACATTCCACTTTTGGAAAATGTTGTATTGCTTGATTCTTACACCTCTGTAATTCTGTCTGCTGCAATGATCAGATTCTGTCAGCCACTTATCATCTGGAGAGAGTTGGTTACTTCAACAGAAGGTTAGATATTTTTGGTACAAGCTAACAGACACTGGAGTAATTCATATCCAGCACTTAGGAGGGAAACATCTCTTCTTGGAGTTTTCCCCTAATAGACGAAGTTCTGAGTCTGAAGAGAACTCCACATGGAACAGACCCAGTAATGCCTTCAATATAAATTTCCAGAAACTGTACAATTTCTTACTGCTCCAAAAGACATGGGATAATGTGCCTCTTTTGCCTGCATATATCTAGCACTGAGATGTATGTAGCATTATCATTCATTTTCATTTGGACTGAATATACCAAAAATTGTATGCAAATTAAAATGCACCAACAGTACTTTGGTACAAGGAATATAATTTTTTAAAGGATGACTTTTCTTTCCCCTATGGGAAAGAATTCTACCTTCCAAAAAGAGA